GAAAAATTTCTAATTTTCAAAAAACCTCGTCGCAACCTCGTTAATAGTGCTAGTAAGAAGCTTTGCTATGAAAATTTATTGTTTATAGGCTTGTATTATTAATAATTTACGCTAAATCTAGGATATTTTGTGTCGCTTTCGCAAAAATGTAAGATTTCCGCAAAGAAATTTTTTATGACATTCTAAAATAAATTACATTTTAATTACTTGGATTAATAAATGTTCTTTATACTAACTTCCTAAATTAGCTCTAATAAAATAAAATAAAGTAGTAGATATTATGAACTTGAACAGCTTATTTTAAATACTTAGATTAATAATTGTTCTTTATACTTACGGACTAAGTTAATGTTAATAACACGATTTTGAGCATATTATATATTTAATTAGATTATTATAAAAGATTAAATAGTTTTTAAAAACTAATTTTAGATTGAAAAATTCAAATATGCTAATGAATAATTAACAAGCAACTTACTTGTCAGCCCACTCACAGCATTGTTCGGAACTTTCTTCTACACCAATTCCATAGCTATAACAAATGGCTGTTTAAAAACTCTCATAGCATTACCAGCCTCAGCAGATTTTAGATCATGTATAAACGTTTTATGCTTAGCTATTTCAATTCCTTTCGTAACAATAACCAATTCAGAATACTCCATCCGGATCATTTATATCAGCTGATTTTAATAATTTCACCTGATGGGTTATTGTCTTTTGCATCTGACATTTTATACAGTATTCAAAACGTGTATACTATACATATTAAGAATAATTAATTTCATTGAAATGACTAAATGTAGTAAATTTGTCAAAAAATATATTAATATACAATTATAAAGATCAAAGAACTAGTATTTGTGCTTATCCCCGAACCAATTGAGACCCTGAATATTAAGCAAATTCGGTTTACAGATTAACGAACTAAAACACGACTCCGTGAACCATTCACCACGTGACACAATAAAAAATTATAATTTTTATTGTACTGAACAAAACATATTATACGATATTCAAGCTCAGCTAAATTAATGTTATATTAATATATTTAATTTCCTTTCTCTGTAAGATGTTTATGAATCTTGACTAATATTTCCAGCACTTCACGCCTTCCTTCTGGTTCTCCAAGATTCAGGCCGTCTAACGGAAAGCTATCTCCTGGCCATCTTAGAATTTCAATTGATTGTTCTTGTGGCAGACCCTCACTAAGTTCTTTAAAATATAATTCAGGAATCACAGTCTTATAAAACGTAACATATGTTGAGATGACGCGAACAGCATACATGGTCTGTTCCATAGTCTGATCCGTAGTCTTGTTATACTTGTTATATTGACGCAAATTATCAGAAGCACAAGCTAGTATCTCAGCAACAATTTGACATTCCCCATAACCTAGCCATCTTTCAGTGTATTCGAGATGTTTATCCTGTCAGAGAACTGTTAAGTTAATAAATAAATATGGTCCTGTCAGAAGTAAAACATTACTAACCTCCACAGCAATCATGGCCGTGTCTATCATCTTAATCGAAAATTCAGGATCTGCTGCCAAATAAGGAAGTCCTCCAATGAACATTCTGTATTCTTGGTGATTTCTGAGTTTTAGAAATGCAATTTTAGGACGCATCATAAACAAAAGATTCTACGGATACGATACATTTATAGAAAAAAATTTTTTTTGATAATTACTCACCTAATCGCCAAAGGAAAAGTATTCAACCCAACAATGCGAAGCAAATCATCTACTAATGTATCAGTATAAGTTTCATCCGTTGTTAACAATGCGTTCATTGCAACCCAATGCAATTTGAGAATAAATGTCCGAACATCGTCAGAAATTCCATCAATC